GGTGTTCCTGGAAGAAATTAATTTGAACAAGAAGCCACAAACATGAAGACGAACTACAAATTTCAACTGAATATTTCTTGCATTCTTTGAACATTTTTATTATCCCTTCGCGTGCTGTACACGAGTCAGAAGTCAAAACAGTACGCGATGAAATATGCAAGAGAGACTGCGCCGCGGGGAAGGGGATGGGGGGGGGGGGGGTTAATCCCCAAAACCAAAATAGTCGAGGCGTGTTTAATTCAACATTTGCAAAATGTTTTAAAAGTATGGTTATTATCCTCCGTCCCTTCATTAATCTGCATATTTTGTTGTTTATATATCCGATTATATTCTCGAAGGACTGTAGTCGCAGATGAACTCAGCGGAACTCAAGATCCGGCGTAATACACCCCTTTAGGAAGAGAGAGGAGAGAGAGGAGGGAGAGAGAGACAGAGAGAGAGTGAGAGGAGAGAGAGAGGAAGAGAGAGAGAGGGGAGAGAGAAAAGGAGAGAGAGAGAGAGAGAGAGAGAGAGAGAGAGAGAGAGAGAGAGACAGACAGACAGAGACAGAGACAGAGACAGACAGAAAATACTGTACATATATGAGATCATTACACGATAATTCGCGTGCACTTGATAGGCTGGAAACTTAACAATCTCTGTTTTTACTGCAGCCAAGAATAATATATTCAAAGACACAAAATGCAAAGCTGGGAAGCTCATTTCAACGACAGGTCATGAAGACCACTTGAACGACAGGTCATGAAGACCACTTGAACGACAGGTCATGAAGACCACTCGAACGACAGGTCATGAAGACTACTTGAACGACAGGTCATGAAGACCACTTGAACGACAGGTCATGAAGACCACTTGAACGACAGGTCATGAAGACACTCGAACGACAGGTCATGAAAAACTACTTGAACGACAGGTCTGAAGACCACTTGAACGACAGGTCATGAAGACCACTCGAACGACAGGTCATGAAGACTACTTGAACGACAGGTCATGAAGACCACTTGAACGACAGGTCATGAAGACCACTTGAACGACAGGTCATGAAGACCACTTGAACGACAGGTCATGGAGACCACTTGAACGACAGGTCATGAAGACCACTCGAACGACAGGTCATGAAGACCACTTGAACGACAGGTCATGGAGATCACTCGAACGACAGGTCATGAAGACTAATTGAACGACAGGTCATGAAGACCACTTGAACGACAGGTCATGGAGACCACTTGAACGACAGGTCATGAAGACCACTTGAACGACAGGTCATGAAGACCACTTGAACGACAGGTCATGGAGACCACTCGAACGACAGGTCATGAAGACCACTCGAACGACAGGTCATGAAGACCACTTGAACGACAGGTCATGAAGACCACTCGAACGACAGGTCATAAAGACCACTCGAACGACAGGTCATGAAGACCACTTGAATGACAGGTCATGGAGACCACTCGAACGACAGGTCATGGAGACCACTCGAACGACAGGTCATGAAGACCACTCGAACGACAGGTCATGAAGACCACTTGAACGACAGGTCATGAAGACCACTCGAACGACAGGTCATGAAGACCACTCGAACGACAGGTCATGAAGACCACTTGAACTACAGGTCATGAAGACCACTCGAACGACAGGTCATGAAGACCACTTGAACGACAGGTCATGAAGACCACTCGAACGACAGGTCATAAAGACCACTCGAACGACAGGTCATGAAGACCACTCAAACTATGGGTCAAAAGAGCCCCCTCTTTCGTCAGGTCTACAAGACCTGTCATATATCTTATCAAGATCCATCACACATAGTCGAAAGTCTGCTTGTGATATGGTAGTCCCTTGACCTTAATCAGTAGTCATGTAACTGACAGTACAAGGGTATCAGTCATGGACAGAAAAGTTGAGAGAGAAAACCTCTTAGTTTTAAAGCGTACTTTGTACACCTGTTACTCAGCCATTTTTTACAATGCTCAAGGATGATAATAAATATGTTACTTAGAGCAATATTAACTTCAACACAAGAATGACTGCTGAGCTAATAGTGTCACTGGAAGTAGCGGCTACTACCCTCGATGGCAGGTGAAGGTGAATTCACTGCAAAGCTTATAACCCACCAGGATGTACCTCACTGCAAACCTCATAACCCACCAAGATGTAACTCACTGCAAACCTCATAACCCACCAGGATGTAATTCACTGCAAAGCTCATAACCCACCAGGATGTACCTCACTGCAAACCTCATAACCCACCAGGATGTAACTCACTGCAAACATCATAACCCACCAGGATGTAACTCACTGCAAACCTCATAACCCACCAGGATGTACCTCATAACCCACCAGGATGTAACTCACTGCAAACCTCATAACCCACCAGGATGTAACTCACTGCAAAGCTTATAACCCACCAGGATGTACCTCTCTGCAAACCTCATAACACACCAGGATGTAACTCACTGCAAACCTCATAACCCACCAGGATGTAACTCACTGCAAAGCTTATTTCCCACCAGGATGTAACTCACTGCAAACCTCATAACCCACCAGGATGTAACTACCTGCAAACCTCATAACCCACCAGGATGTAACTCGCTGCAAAGCTTATAACCCACCAGGATGTAACTCACTGCAAAGCTTATAACCCACCAGAATGTAACTCACTGCAAACCTGATAACCCACCAGGATGTAACTCACTGCAAAGCTTATAACCCACCAGGATGTAACTCACTGCAAACCTCATAACCCACCAGGATGTAACTCACTGCAAAGCTTATAACCCACCAGGATGTAACTCACTGCAAAGCTTATAACCCACCAGG